CAAGCCGGCCGACCCGCAAGTCATGGGCTGAGCAAAGGGATCTGGAGGGATTCAATTTCTACGCTTCGTGGTACTACTTCGCCACAAAATCTGGAGGCCTAAGCAAGGGTGTGTACATGTAATAATTTTCTGACCTTTGCATGGTATTTTGGAGGCTACGTGTGGGCATGCTTCGGACGCCTTAACCCGCTGCAAACCGCACACGTGAGGGTATCCCAGGTTCATGATAGGAACAAATTCACCTGAGACATCTCTGCACCCGACGGACTTGTGTCTTGCAGCATGGCCTTTGCGAAGTCTTGCGACCGTGGCCAATCCAGGTTCCGATCCACGTCGCTCCGTGCCTGCCTGCGCCCACTGCGAAATCCGCGGCTAAGCCTGGCCCATGGAGCCTGGATTACTCGAGATTTGATCCTCAGCTTGTCTCAGCTTGAAGGATGTGTGGGCCTCGCTTGCCATCTCATTCTCATGATCAGACTTGTTATAGGGGTTTGTGTTGAAATTCGCCTGCATACTGTAGCTCCACATGCAAGATTGCAATCCCAGTTGGCGAGCGCCAGGCAGGTAAACGACCAACTTCGGCAGCCGTAGCCAGCAAGCAGCTGAGGATACCATTCTAGATGGGGAGGACGACACCTCTCCGGATCGCAATCAAGTTGCTCGGCTGCAGCTATGCCTACCATAGGAGGTCTTCGTTGAGGTTTGCAGGCACGGGTCTGCAGTCATCTTGAGCACATTGACTCCTTCAAAAAGATACGGTAGAACCATCGCCATCAGAGACGACAAGTTTGAGGCGAGAGAGCATGCAAAAGATAATCGCGACAAGGCTGTCATTCTCGTAGCCCCGCTTCTTGCGCAATCAGTTCACGTTTCCTTGTTAGAGGTAGAGCGCCGACATATGCGTGGCCCCCAAGTAGGGACCTGTCATTCTTCCTAACCACCTGCTGCAAACAGCTTCTTCGCCCGTTGCCTGTTTGGAGAACTATTGGCCAGAACGGCTTAAGCTTTTTTCATGGGGGTTCAGGGTTCCATCCCTTTTGATTCTGGGGCACCTAAATCAGGATTTGCAACGCAGGGAGTCTGCGAGGAAGATGCATGGGGATTTTTACGGGCATTTACCGACAAAGCGTGACCCTCAGTGCGCTAACCAGCGCCATCATTTCCAGGGATTAGGTGCACAGGCTCCCACAAGCTGTTGTTCACTAATCGTGGAGCTTGGAAGATCGCTGAGGTGCGGAAGATCGCACACTCCCTGGCAGGGGCGGTCGAAGACGTGAAGCGGCTTCTTGCTTTCAATTTCCGGCCTAGAGGTTTGGAACGTTTGGCGGGTGATTTTCAGGAAAACCTCTGGTAGCTTCAGTCGTGTCATCTTGTGGAAGTTGTCAGCGTGGACGACGGTATGGTTTTGAGTTGCATTCTGCTAGCGCAGGGGTCGTTTAGACGGCCACAGGCGTGCCTGTTTGCAGGCAAAGTTGCCGAAACTTGAATAGTAAGCAATACTCCAGAACGGGTGCCCTTCTAGTTAGTTTGGCATGGACAGAATATCTGAGGGCTACGCTTGTGTTCCTGCACCAAAGCTTAGGTTGAAGCCGCCCACCTCCCGCCCGAGCCAGACAGGAATCTCAACTACATTTGGTAGTTTCCAAATTTTGGTAGGTTCCAAAATAGTAGAATCATCCTTACCATGGGGCCCCAAAAAGGCACAGATTTTTTTGGGAAACCCCCGTGTAGGGTTTGATGCAAGTATGAACACAGGTACTGCCTCTACAGGTTATACAGAAAAAGAAAGTTTGTGCAGAGTATTGGCCATGGTCCACAGAGTAGTTTGGTCGTAGATCCATGTATAGTCGCCAGGAACTAGCATGGAACCCATTTGTTCTTAGACTGAGGTTGCTAACAAAAAGCTAGGGACACGAATAAGACTTTCCAACACGTTGGGATTTCCTCCAAATATTGTACAAGACTTCAGCTCCGTAAGCTCGTGTGCGATTGCTCCACCTGTCAGATAGGCCGTTATTCCCAACACAAACGGTTTATATCCCCTTCGCCAGAAGAGGAGCCCGTAATCCTGAGACAGCCACATCGCTAGGGTTAAGGGTTGATGTTGGCAGCTATCTACGCACCTACAGTACAGAGTCCCTATTAAGCCCCTGTAGAAACCCAATTTCCATTTCATTGTCCATTGGCTTATCTATGTGATCCTCCAGCATAAGCCCTACCAATCCCTATGTAGCCCCCATGTAACTCCCATTTCCACTTCATTTTCAATTTTATTGTGTAGTTGATCCTGCCACAACCTGTGCATCCGTATAACCCCCTATGTTTACATGGATTCTCCAGTACCATTATTAGGTCCAGAGCTCTGTGGCTGCTAGGTAAGAACCAAATTCCACAGCAGAGCCCCGAGCCCTGCACAGCGGCGAGCGAATGCAGAAGCCCGTTAGATGCCCTTGATTGAGGGGATTGACGGAGGCTTACAGGGAACCTATGGGGGCTTAGTGTGGTGGTGCTGGGGGCCTTGAAGGTGTTTTAAGCATGCATGTTATATAGGGTTTTGTGTGTTACGGGTTTAGGGTGCAGAAATTGCTCCACGTAAAGGGCATCGGGTTGCGAGAAGCCCGGGCAAATAGGGGATGCCACCTTCTGGGGTTTAGCAGACTGCCGCAGCAACGTGGAAGAGACGGTGCTTGGGCGAAAAGTGCAGAGAATTCAAAGTCATGATCAAGGATGCGTACACCACGAACTGATCCCAACACAATTTTTCGAGTGATTAGGGGGCAGTCTTTGTTTGTATGGTAATGGGGGGTTCTGATTAATAACCCCCCTCTCACCCCCAAACAAGTAAGGATTCTAAATATTCCCGGGTCGCCTAATCAAATGTCGGATTTTTTTTTTGGGACGGGTCCCAGAGGCACTCATAAACCCTAAGCCCCAGACCCTAAACCCTAATGTTAGGGTCCTAATGTTAGGGTCGTTAAGGAGTAAGAGTAGGAGTAAAAATCTTTGCTTCTCTCCGTGTCTTGCAATTTTCTCTCTTCGGGCGTTTCCGGAACAGAGCATGGATTTATTCCGTTTCTGTCTTGTTATTTATCCGTTCAGGGAAGAGCTCGTTCTATTCTGTACCCATTTTTAGTCTTCAGAATTTCGCTCTATTTTGAACCCATGTACTATTAAGAACCCAACATTATTTGGGAGTGTCTAGGAACCTTCGTCGCCTGCCGCACTCATTAAAGTGAACTTGAGGTAAGGCCTGAACTTTGTCGCCTTTATGGAAGTTTTCGTTCTTTCCCGGAGCTTTCTTGCCCAAAAGCCCAGCAGAGTCACAGAAGTTCATCGCAAGGAAGGCACATCCCGAAAGCCATGGCTGAAACTGCAGTCAAATCACGTTAGGAGAGCTTAAGTTCTTGAGTTTGCTGCTTTCTAAATGTCTTGACCTGGCAGCTGCCATGTGGTGATACAGTCCCAGGTTCCGATTTAATTTCAATGGTCTTTTCCATTTGACTCCCCATTGTCCGTAAGCTAATCCATTCAGGGTTATGCGCCGATGGAGTTGATGTGGGGAAAAATGGTCAAAAGATTGCAAGAAACAGATCACAAAACCTGCACATTCCGAGCCTTGAGCCCAACGGATATTCTGAAGCCATGTGGCGCGCGCCACGACGGATTGCGCTGCTGGCACCCTGGCTCTGGAGCGATTTCTCTGATATATGAGCCATAGTCTAAACTCCTTAAAGGGAAGCTATATAGGGGTTTATATAGGGGACCAGTATATGGCTCATTAAGGGGGATACTAGGAGTTTAGAGTATGGCTCATATTATGAGTTTCTCCAGGCAGTGCCTTCAGAGTCCCTCTGTGCGACTATTCCTGTACAACTTGCTAATAATCCTGAGAACACTGAGAACTCCCAATGTTTCCCCAAAATTTCCTGCTGCGTCAATCACCATGCCGGACAATAGCTTGCATTATAGAGACAGGACTATGTAAATCATGTGGAGTTTGCAACGCCATGTTAAGGCTGCAGGGTCTTGCTGCTTGTTCACCTGACTGCGTGTTGATCAACACCAGAAGCACAAGAAAACCCCAAAAGGTAGTACGCAACAGTTTGAGTATTGACGGATCAGCCGGAAACTCAGGGAAGCAAGATCTCTCTGGAGGAAAACATAATCATAGTCACCATCGGTCAGATTTTGCACGACTTTTCGCCCAACCCGTTGCAAAGGTTCTGGGCCGGCTGCTGCCGCCAAGCTTCGCCAAGACATGCCGAACCCACGGAGACTGCAAGCATGACATGCGCCTATCACCAAAAGATCTATAGCATCAGTATTCTACACGGATGTTGCAGAGATTATGGCAGATTTCTGTACGTGATGCCTAATGACCTAATGATGACGCCTAAAGCGCATTGAATTATGCAGGGGCTCAGTATGCTCACTGCGCGGAACATCTTGGGAGAGAACACGCGGATAGAGAGGTTAGTGTAAGGATGTGGAGTATAGAGACGAGCTTAGTAAGACCAGCTGTCGCCCTTCGAAAGCTTTTTGGACTGTATGACAAGCCCGCATCCGTTTCAACAACAGAGAACTACGCTTCCTATGCCTAAGCAAGATCGTAGGACATATATAGAGGGTAGGTTTTGCAAACGTCCCAGACTTTTCCTCCGGAAATTATTTCCAGCGTTGTTTGCCTGAGCGGGTTCAGAGTCTCTCAGTCAGAGGCTTCAAGTACAGGTGTCAAGTCTCAGCGAGACAAACGCTGGGTGGAAAGCTAGGGTGCAGAGCTTTCACAAGCAAGTCCTTTCACACCAGTAGTAACAATAGTAAGAAGAGTAATGGTAATTTTCATACTTATTGTTACTACTACTACTACTACTACTACCACTACTACTACTACTACTACTACTACTCCCACGACGATGATTACGATTATTACTAGTATTACTATTACTACGCTTGTTTTCGGGCCGAGGTATTGCTTCTCCTACAAGCTTTGCCAAGAATTCATGGACAGCGAAGATTTTCAGCTGGGTGACGCTGTTGCCATTGAAGGCACCGCATCTCCCGCCGCCTGCAAAAAGTGGGTTGCTTGACAAGAGATCTCTGGCCTGGAGCCTGTACTGTACTGTGCTGCACTGTATTGCCAATGGCCTCAAGCCGCAGAAGCTGACTCCTGTGACTGAATTCATTGCTTGGGTCATGTTGTAGATATTGTATCTTTTGTTGGCGGCAGCTCTAGGGCATCTGACAAACTCTTCCAATGCAACACAAGAGTCACCGAAAGATGCCATTGCCTTTTGCATCCCTGTCAAGGGCAACAAACATGAACCACTCAGGTGGTGATTGGCTCCTATCCAAACCGGACATACACCGTCCATTGCGCCGGCAATGAGACCCTGATTCGACAAGTGGACAGGCAGGCCCTCCAAAATCTGCGTAGTTCCCAAAATTAGGCTCCCGTTTTGGTACCCCTAAATACTAGGTGCCGAAATATAATATGTACAGAAAAGGGCCCATAATTTTGAGAACAACCCAGCGCAGTGCGGAAAGGGCACTTCCAAGATTACATTTACGCCATGCAATGAGCTCTAAGTAAAGCTGATTCCTCCTTCTAATGCGGTTTCGGAAGGCATTTACTAAAAGGCCTTTGAGCCCATGACTGGAGCATGCGGTCCAGGAAGCCGGACTTGAAGAGGTCATGTGGCTGTACTTGTTGATCTTCGTTTCTAGTCAGTGAAAACTTAGGGAATGATTTAGGGAAAAAAGCGCAGCAGGCACACAGAGCCATTTGTAGAAATGTCTTCCCCGATGGATTCCCTCCTACCAAAGTGCCCTGCAGCGGCCACCTCCATTCCATAAAAGTTTTTTATGGAGAGCTGCCTTTCAATTGAAAGCGCTATAATAAAGGCTGTAATCGTATCAGGGGCGGAACCTGGCACCGCAAAGAGTACTGACCATAGCGGCAGTGAGTTGAAGATCAAGGTATTACACGCCGAAACCTGGCTAAGGTACCTGTGCCTGTTTTGATCATGCTATGATTTTTTTTATGGAGGCAGCAGCAATCTCAACAACATTGGAGTGTGACTTCGGCTTGCAGGAAATCTCTGCGGACTGCTGATACCTTTTCCTACAACTGCGGGGAGCCTTTGCCGCAAGAGTTGCAGTTTCGCGCGTTTGCGTAACAGGTGGTGTCTTCTGGTTAGAAGTGGGCCGAAGGCATAGGATGTGAGCATGCTTGTTTGTGACGTGTCTTTGATGCAACCACAACCAAGGAATTTTCGACGCACGGAGTCTGTGGGCCGTTGCAGGTTTGCCCTTCGTGCCCTGCCTCCTGGGTGGTCTGTTCGTTATAGGTTGGGAGATTGAGAGGCAAAAGCAACGAGCGCTGAGTTCTGCGGGGTAGAACTGTATAGTTTCCCAAATTAGGGGGACCCCAACAGATCTCCAAACACTAAAATCCCTTTAATGGGAGCCCCGAAAAAGCCCCCCCCCCCCTCCCATTTTGCGGGAGCCCTAGACTCAAAAAATCCCAACAACACATCACCAAAAAAAATGTACACCTCCAAGCCTATATATCCCCATTAACCCCCTTTGAACAGGTAGCCCGTAATTTGAATCAGGTCCCATGACTCGATTGACGGAGTCTGTCCTGGCCAAGCTCAGAACAAGTCAGTTTCCTGCTGGCAAGCAGCTCAGGGTTTAGGGTTTAGGGTTGAGGGTTTGGGGCCTCGGGGTTAGGGTTCGCAGCTCATTTCTGTACAGATTTGGGCTGTAGTCTAAACTCTAACCTCCTTAAAGGTGGTTATATAGGGGATTGTATAGGGGACTATTATAGGAGTTATCGAGGGGGAAACAAGGAGTTGGACTATAGCTCATATAGCCACCCTTAAGTAGATTTACCATGGCTATGGTCAAATGCATATTCTATCTACTAGAGGGGGACCACAGATTGTCACATGTTATTTTCAGCTTTGCCACCAGTACTCGGCCATGTGCTCATCACTAACGAGCGGTCAAAGCATGCGTTCGAAGCTGGCTGGGCTGGCGTTGCTGACGTTTCCTTACGGTTAGCCGCGTAAGCGTCTGGAGGCGAGTTGAAGCCGCAGTCACCCAAGAAATGGCAGCAGAGATCGTGCCACCGTCACATCGATCTTTCCAAGTTGCCTCCTCCATGTGCAAGTCTTCCTGCATGTTTTGCAATTGCTCCCCGCAATTCCGCGCGGGATAGCCAGATTCTCAGGACACCTGCTTGGATTTAAATCCGAGCTTCTGCCAAACCGTCCAAAGATATCGACGGAAGCTCAGCTGAAGCCCTAGCAAGCTTTGATCAGGCATTCTCAGGTATAGAGGGCGGCGCCTTCTCAACCCTCACACTTGTATTCCTTGTGCTCCCAGCAGACATACAGCAAGTCTTAGCCTGATGGGAAAGTACGAGTGATTATAACAGCAGAGAGAGAGAGAGAGGGAGAGAGTCAGAGACTCGGCAAAAGGACATCGTAGCCGGACAGAATTGCCTTGAGCTTCAATTCTTACGACTGGAATTTTGGAGTTCCCCGTTCTAAGACTAAACCTCCGCTGCAAAATTGTCGTGGCTAAGGCAGCCAAAAATTCTTTCATTTATGCTGACAGCAAGCAGGTTGTGCTCTCAGCCATATCACGGCCCCAACGTCAGCGTCACCTGCTGCGCCGCCTGCAAGGGTCGCGGTCTAAGTCTGGGAGGGTGTAGTAGACAGCCAGAGTGGCTGGAATTAGCTCCTAACCCCGAGAGTGTTGATCGCAAGTTGTGTCTGCACTGAAGCTGCGTCCATTTCTCAGCACAAAGCCCCCTCATCAAGACAAGCAGTGCGGCACCTCATACGCGCGGCTGAAGTTGGTGTGCCGTGACTCCACCCACACATTCAAATCCTCCCCTGTGCACCGTGCAGAATTAGGACCTTTCACGCGCTCCTTCTGGGGCAAATTAAGTAGACGTGGGCTCAGCTCAAAAGTACAGATCTGGTTCCTGAGTTCCTCGGAGGAGGCAGCTGGTGGGACCAAACAGTATTCTTGTCTGTGCGCCTTTTCCACGGCTGGTCTTGGGTAAGCCTGCGCAAGGATGAACTGCTTCTACCCCACAGTATGGCTGCTGAGGCTACACGGCCCCCGCCACACCTTCGCCGCACCGACCCTTGGTAACAGGTCGTGTCAGGGTCAGCAGTACAGGGAGCTTCCAGGCATGGGCTTCAAAGGAGGAGATTCACCATCCCTTTCCGTCTTCCTTGTTAAGCAGTGATGTGAGGAAGTGCATGATGGCTTCAGCAGCCAGACTGCAAGCGGTTTTGCTTGACTCCACTGAGATCAGCCAAACAAGTGTCGAAGGCGTGGGCATGTAGGGGCTATACGTCCAAACCTTCAGTCATCTTGCCCTGAGATAGGAGTTCCAAACAGGACCACTAAATTCTGACAGTCCGCATGGTTGCACCTGACAGATGTGGCCTGCTCCTCTCCACTTTGACACAGGAGTAGACTGCTTCAGAGAAGTCAGCCTAGGCGAACGCGAACACATTCACAGCAAGAGGTTTGCAACCCGAGCGGCCCTGGCGTTCCTTGCAGAAGCAGTTGCTGCAGTTCTTTCACTAGTGCCAGTACCGGTTGGCTGTTAGCATGATCATTTTAATATTTGTGGATTAGGTCAGAACAACATTGCTGGTGCTCAGGGCTTCATGTTTCATTGCCAGTATGAGCGTGTCAGCTACAGTATGGTGTATGTAATCTGCGGGTTGCCATTGTAATCGCTGTGCATCATACAGCACCAGCCCCCACTGCGGCCAGAGCCTGGCACTCTCTTCGTGAAATGCCCGGCGGCTAGCAAAGCCTAGAAGAAGCCGCTCGCATTTCCTGTAAGAAGCCACTTGGTCATTTGCTCCAATCAAGCCGGCGACTCTTTAGCCCTCTGTAAATCAGAAGACGCGTCAGTGGCTTTCTTTGATCACATATCCCAGCCCCAAACCGTATGACTCGGTGAAACAGCAAGCGGTCCCTGCAATACACCACCCCATAGTATAAAGATCCCTTATTGGATATTCAGAAGCCTTTACAAGAATCGCTTCCTTGCTAGGAGAAGGATTCCCGCGTCTACTCGAAAACAAACCCGACTGCTCCCGAACAGTCCTCCTGCATTCGTTTAAGCCCCAAATAAACACTTCACAGACACTATCCTCGCAGTCAGCATATGCAACCCGTACATAAATCCAAGAGTATCCTTTCATTATCATTATGCTATTTTGCTGATTATGATTCTATACAGTATCCGAACGTGCCAGGGGAGAGGCTGCAAGAATGATCCTCGTTCACATCCGAAGCAAAGCTCATTCACCCCTAATTCTATGCACACCCTCCAGTTTCTTAACTCATGTCCTGCTTATCCTAGGGCTGCCTAGGGTCCGAAGCCTAAAGCTCGAAACCATGTTTGCGCCGAATATCTGTCAATACTTCCTACATCTTTGGGGGCTCCTACAATGCTGTTGTAATCCCCATATCCCTTGGGTTATCTTGGGTTGTTTGAGATATCCCTAGAAGAGTAGCCCCCAGGTTGTGCTGTTTTGCCACCGCCATGGCGGGCTGCAGCTTTTTCCTAGTGCGGAGGAGGAGCTTCCCAGCAAAGGGGGGAACCCTTGCTGTAGGGGCTCGTGGGGATATACGGGGATTAGATGATAAACTTATATAAGCTCTATAGGGTCCCACTTAAGTGGGTTAACGAGGATGTCCCAGCATGTGGTCCGCAAGCAGTCTCTTTCTTCTAATGCACGCGCAGTAGAGGGACGTAGCAAGCTAGTCTATATTAGAAGCTTCACTTACACTTGGGATCGAGAGCTCCCCTCAAGAGTCAGCAGGTACAGTAGGAATTGTCAAGGCCATGTACGAATTACAGGGAACTTGTGGGGTATGCAGCAGGACAAACCGTGAAAATTTCATGTTCGTAGCTGTTGCTTCGGAGTTTATGAGGATAAATTAGAATAACGGAGGAGACTCAGAGGATGGCACACGTCGGGTTTACCGAAATTGTGGAGCAGCATTCTACCGATGATATGATACTTCAGGAACCAGGCCGTGTTTGCTGTCGGGCTTGTGGGTAAGGGGTACAAGATTGCTGAAAGGTGAGGTTCATGTCGATCCTTGTGGGCGGTGATTGAGAAGATTCTTCTTGGTCACGATTCTGGAACCAGCGATGTAATCAATCAAAACATGCAAGATCCCGGCCTGGGAAAGAAGGACGCGGGGCCAGCATTGATTCGACATCCTGGGTACAGACCCGGACCGAGGAACCTGTAGTGCTGACATACCTGAAGCAGCTCATCGCATGCTAGTCTGGCAGGCTAATATGTCCAGAGTACTCCCAAAACTGTTGAGGCAAAGTCCCTAGGGCTGAAACCCCACCTCGAATCACAATCAAAGCAGCGTTGGTTTGAACTTGAAGATCTCCTGGCGGGGCTCCTGAAGCCTACGCTCCAAGCTCGAAATTACGTTTGATACCTGCCACCGTTAAAAGGCCTGGTGAACTCTGGGGATCTGCCTTGATGGGCAGCCTCGTTCAAAGTCAGGTGTTATTGTGTTCGCATTCCCAGAGGCTGGCCGCCGCAAAATGGGACAAAAACCCATGGAGCCCCCATACTCCCTTTGCAATCCCTTTACTTCCTCAGGGTTTGCAAGGGACTGCTTGCCTTGCAAAGCCCGCAGATGCTCCTAAAGGCCCATCCTGATAGTACTGCAGGAAGCATCTCCAACTGCGGGAGGCTGCCCCTGAGGTCAGGAAGGGCTCGGTCAGTTGGAGTATCCAGGTGGTAAGCAGGCATGATGTGGTTTAGCAGCATAACTTCCCAAGATTTGTAAAATGCAGTGATCTGTTCATACATGATGTTGCATCAACCTGAAAGATACAAGCCAGGGATGAGTTTGAGATGCATCACAGAAGTATAGCTTTGAGGTACAGGGTGCCAGTTTCGCGAGATGGGGTGAATTGAGCACCATCGCAGGTACTTGAGATGCCCATGTTGTTGCAGCATTGTGACTACTATGCTTATTGCCCCTAAGCGCTAAACTTCTGAACCCTACAGCATTCTTTGCATATTGCCAGTTAGGTAATCAGTCTGATAAGAATCTTTGCTGACATCCCTCTCCACTCAGAGGCCAATACTGATTGGTCAAGTTGCTAGTCAGAAATGCTTGAGTCAGTCAGCAGAAAACTCATGATTAAGTTGATGAACTCCTGCAAGGTAGGAGTTTGGGCCACATCGAAATGAACTACTACAGGACTGCGTAACTGTCGAAGCTATGGCCAATGGTGATGTCGAAGCAGAGTACTTGGAGAGACTTGGCCACCCGAGTGCTGGTTTGTTTGTGGTGACTTGGAATTAAAAGTTAAGTACAGTTGGTCCAGAACTGGAAACGACAAAAGGTTTGCAACTGTGATAATCCATTCTTTCAGGCATCATATCCAGGATAAGCAAATTCACAGGTGCTTGTTTGACTCTAACCAGGTCGATTTCCGGGTTGCGATGTCAAGACCGCACTGGCAGAAGTATTGTGCACAAGCATGAAGAGTTGAGACCGCCATCCACCTGCAATGATTCCAAGCATTATCATAGATGCATATATGCCCGAAAATAAAGGGAGAACCAAATCGCAGCCAAAAAACAATCTTAGTAGTCCGCTAAGCGAGGATGGCAACGCCGCGAGGTTCGAGCCGAAGTTAGCTGCTCCCAGCTTTCTCGCAGGGATGCGATGAGAAAATAAAAAAGAGCGCCCTGCCCACCTATGTAGACGTTGCAATGATTGTACACTTTTGCATTCTCGGAGATTCTTGGGTATGTGCCACAGTGTTTGTAGGGTAAAAGCAGGTATGATGAGTTAAACTTCATTGCGGTACTCATCCAAGTAGGAAGCCTAGCAAACGGGGAGCATGTTTCACAGCAAATGCCATACACGTGGCCACAACATGTTTCGTTATGTGATACTTTGGCTGGTATATTGAATTTGTTGTGACTCAGACTTAGGGTTTTGAGAAGCAGCTCAGGGGTATGGAGATTCAACACGAAACACGGAAGCAGTTGACGTCACTGTATGGATAGCTCAAGTAGCTGACGAATGCTGCGCCTTGAGGGGAAGGACTTGAAAATAATGCTACGGGGCGAGCGCGAGAAGCACTGACAAGGGTCGCCTTTATCAGTCCTGAGGCCCCTCAACCCCTCGTGGGACTAGCTGGACTGGAACTTGGGGTAGTCAAGTATCAGATATTATGGAAGCTTTCATCATAACGAGCTGCAGGTTCTACTCTTTTGGCAGGAACTGGTCATGTTATGTGCTGCGAAGCTTGATCAACAAGTCTGCCCGTGCCGCGCCAGAGCTAGTTTGATTGACTTGAGGGCTAGTCGACTAGCCTGACTATCGCGCCCTGGCCAGACGCCATGGCAAACAACCAGGGGCAGCCGATGACCCATGAAAGACCTAGCATTATTGTCCCTAGTTCATATGGCTTTTTTGGTTCGCAAATGGAAAAGAATGCAATTCTGTGGGTGCCTGAAAATCTGAGGATGTATTACTACGTCACGGTGCCGCAGCAGGGCCAGGGGCAATACACACAGGATTCTCTGCTGGAGAAGTGCCCAGTAGTCTGACTTGAAGATGCAAGGGCAGCAGGCAACCATTACATGCTTACTTACCACTGTTTGAAGTTGCTGCAACAGCAACCGGAGCTTTGGAGCCCTTTGACCCTAACTCCCCCACCTCGTCTTCCCGACAGGATGGCAACATGCAGGGCCAGCCTATGCAGCAGGCCAATTTCGGTGTGGACCCCTCGCAGATGCAGCTGGGCAAGGAGAACGAGAATATCATTCTGCGGAGGGTCTTGTAAGCCTTGCACAAGCTTTGCATTTGTGAGGTTGGTTAAGTTGCTTCTCACTATGGAGGGCAATGCGGAGTTGCAAGACCGCTTTTTGAAAGGGCTCGATGCACAAAAACAAGCTCGGAAAGTCCCCAGCCTAAGGCAGAACGCATTCATGACCGGCCAGCAGTATGGCTTCGTGCAGGCTCAGGATGGAAACAACGGCATGAACATGCAGATGGGACAAGTCCCCATGATGGCGGCAAACGGCGCCATGGGCATGCAGGGACAGCAGGTCACTTTGCCAATCGGAGGACACAGACCTTTGGGAACTTTTTTCTTCATAGGCTTACCGCAGGTCTAGAGAGTTTTTGTCCATGGTTGCCGAAAAAATGAGGTCATGCTTGTGATGAACATGCCTAACCAGCAGGGGAACCAGATGATGGACCAGAGCCACCAGCAAGGTGGATGGGGCTGTGGTGGACAGGATGCGAACGCGCAGCAGGGCCAGAATGCAGTGGGTGGTCATCCGATGATGATGCCTCAGCAGCAGGCCTTCCAGCCCCAACAGCAGCAACAGCAATTCCAGCAGATGCCTCAGCAACAGCCGCAGCAACAGCAGGCGCCTATGCAACAGCAACAGCAGCCGCCGCAGCAGCAACAGCAGATGCGGCCAAACAGAGTGCCTTGGCATGTAGCCATCATGTCAAACCTTAGTTTATTAGGGTTGTATGAGCTACTGTCAAGATTAGCCTTAGTAAGGGACCCTTAGCAGTGGACACAGGGGTCCCTTTTGTAATTTGGTGTGGTCACTATATAGCCCCTTTTAAGGAAGCCATGTCCATTAAATTCTGCAGGAAATATTGACTGTAGCTCATATAGGCATATAGCAAAAGAACATGGAAACTATAGGGATTAAAGGGATTGTATTCTGCGTTTCATGAGCTGAAGGATGTTGGGTCTGAGTCATTGTGGATCTCGTTTGTAACAACCGTTGCCCGCCAGTCTCCTGCGTGTTGCCTTCCCTCTTATGCCACGTAGGCTTTCTACGAACTACAACGACGTAACCACATCTTTCTCTTGTATTTCTCGCAAACACCTCACAGTGCACGCTTCCCGCCCTTCCTTTATTTTTTCGTCTGAGAGGACGGATTTGTTTGGCGGAGGGAGAACCCAAAAAGAAACAGCACCAACAAAATTTCAAGCACGCACAGATAGCATTTAGGCCCTGGAACAAACTTTCTGTCGAATGGGCGTGGGCCGAAGGACATAGTGGCGGTGAATTCAACGAACACGCGGATCACATTGCAAAAATGGAACGAACACAGGCGAGGGGATAGGAGGACGACAAGGTCTACCGCGCATGGCTGCTATGTACTCACTACAGCTCCCAGAGCAAAAGAGTTTCAATTCGTCTCGGAAAAATGCATACATTTCTTGAACGCTGTTGAAAGGGCGCAGGAGGCAGCCCTGCCCGCCCTTCTCGCACCGGGGAAGCAACCTGGATTACCCCGAAGGTAGCTCTGCAAATGGAAGAGGCAATAGAGACAAATGCAAATCCGATGTTCCCCGGACCACCCCGTCGAATACAGATGTATAGAAGGGCAAGCTCGCCAACTAAAGCGCCGATGGACAAGAGACCGCCTCACGCAGGATGCGGACACGAGACGCACGAAGGTTTGGCACGTGGCCAGGGAACTGAAATGAGGTTCCCAGGCTGGGTGAACGCGGCTGAAGAACCAAGACAAACCCGTACCGTGGACAAGAACACTAAACAGAATGATGCAGAGGCAGCATTTGTGTTTTTGACTCACGTGCGGTGTAGCAAGCTACCACGGAAGTCCAAACCGATATTTTGTCACGCTTACATCCTGCCAGTTCTCATCTACGGTCTAGATTTGTGTTTGCTGGATGTGCAACACTAGAGGACCATAGGAGCTTGGTGCTTCAGAAATCTAAGAAGAGCATTTTCCACCAGGCATCCTATTGTTCGTTTATCTTTAACTACAGATCTTGGGAAGCTGCTGGAAAGCTTGTTCTGCCAACGCAGTCCATACTTCAAGAACATTCAAGCCAATTCAAGCTGCTAATTAAAGCCACGACTACTTCGCAAGGTGACCTGCTAAATCATGTAGTCTTCTCCCCAGGGTATAAGGACAGAATAGGGTATACGAAGTGCAGGTCCAACTAGATGTGAGTTCGAACTGGTAGCAAAAAAGCTTTACGGGCATATTAGCCACTCGTCGACCACCGCGCCCTCGGCGATATGCGCCGAGATGTCGAAGGAAATGTAAAAAATGTACAACTGCCAAGAAAGGGCCAAAAGTTTGACGAGTATCCGACGACTGCGGCTACGCGAAAGCTGCAATGTTGTCCCATGTCTGGAAAAACTGTGGGGAACCATCTCAAACCTAAAACCAGTACGGGAGAACCTTGCATGCGGGGCTCCCCCGCACGGAGAAACACCTGTAGTACGGTGTTGGTGCACTCCCAAGAGGAGTGCTAGTGTGTAACCTTAGACCCTTAGCCGCCTTTTATCCAAGCCAATAAACCCTATACCCTAAACCTTATACCAAAAAACCTAAGCCTCAAACCCTATGGTAATTTCCATTTTCTTTGCCATTCCTTCATTCCCAGCTAACCAATATCCCTATGAGAGCCCTATAACCATACAGCATGAACTTCCCGGAGCCCTAAACCCTGAACCCTAGACCATCCTAGACCCTAACCCTATACCAACAAAAAATTACACCATACAGGATGAACTTCCCTGGTCCAAGGCAGATGGCAAGGATGAGGCGGAACCCAGCGCGGTGGCTGCGAAGCATTATTCCATGTGCAACTGCAAACTTCTAGGGCATTTCAAAGGGGTGGGGTTATGTAGGTCGGGCACTGCAACTAGCAGTTTAAAGGGTGAGAGAGCTGTAGTCTAAGGGGGTTGTAGAGGGGGTTTTATGGGGGAAAATTATGAGGGTTACTAAGCGAGATACCAGGAGTTTGGACTATAGCTCGTATAGGTAGCAATAGTACGGGGCATTCGGGTTTAGGGTAGGCAGATGGAGGAGCCGGACTCCTAGAAATGGAAGCCGCACCTCCTCCCATTTTGGTACCGCTAAAGATTAGGTGCCGTAATATATAATGTATACCCAAAAAGGGGTCCAGAATTTTGAGAGCAACCCACTCAACCCAATAAGTCGGCAGCCTTCGAGCCTTGGGGCTCTAGGCTTTGAATGTCAGGAGGGGTCCACGTAATTAGGCCTGACATCGTTAAGAATCTAAGAAGGACACTAGCAATGGAAGGATGGCACTTCTGATCCCCGAGCTCAAATTGCAGTGCAGCCGCCAAATACCAGCAACGACAGAACCAACAAATAAGAAGACGACGACGCTGATCAGGCTTGGCGTCTCGCTTGTGGTGATGGCGAAGGGTCGGTAAGACGCAAAGCTCACGCAGAAGAAGAATCAGCAACATGATGTATGTGTCTACTTTCACTCCAAAAGAAACTGTAGCAACGTCGAGGCTTATAAGGTCCAGCCACAGCTTGCGTGTCGAGGTAGGCGGGTCGTTCATGCGGGCCTGAAACCCATCCTCGAGTGTTTGTCAGAGATGAGCAGGCTGAGAGCTTTGCGCCGTCACGATTAATCACCCAGCGTGGATCATTGTCACTATCTACCTGCCCAGGGGAATACGCAAGATTTTTGCTGCAGACTTCTTGGGAGGTGGACATGAAGAGGGATTGGCTTCTCTGGGAGCTCAAGCCCCAAGCCCATGAGTCTAAACTCTACACTCCTTTGCGCCCAAGACTTATGCCGTTTGTCAGTCCTGTCCCTCATTCGCAGCCCAGCAAACCCAGCAATTTCCTGTCAATCCCAAGGTCCTAAACTAAATTAGCGCAGTGCAGGTCGCGATATCGCTATTCTGGGCTCCCATGAGATATAATGGGGAAACGTAACTATGCCAGCGCTTCCAGCAAGAATTCAAAGGCCGTTTTGGGAAGTGTTTAAAACCAAAAAAAGCAGTCCATGGGCTGTGTTGGGTCTATTAGGGCCCCGTCTCAACGCCAACCTCATGTTGGGCCCAGGAGAACCAGCCGTCGCAGACACCCGCCGCTGCCCCCAAGGCCACCATGAAAAAGAAGGGGCCGCACAACTGCAGGTGAGTAGTTTCGGATGTAAGGTTGTATGGAAGTTTTGGGACTTCAGATCTAGGATTTGGGGTTTGCTGACTTAGTGTTTCGGGCCAAGGTGATATGTACATTAAGCTTACGGATCCCGAACCTTCTAAGTAACCTCTAGGTTCCCTTCTAAGTACCTTCTAACTGTACTTCTTAGGGGGTCTGTCCTACCTGGGTTTCCCTGAACGTGTAGCCTTTTTCGATACACTTCAGGGGTTCTTGGGTCATGTGAGGCATGCTGGCGCGCTGGCATTTGCCGTTGGAGGGGTATCCTGACAGGTGCCCACCGTAAGTACACAATCTCTCATCCGGATACTTTGAATTAGTCCTTCCTTCCAAACTGCTAGGCACCCCCCGGTGTTAGATCTTCCAGATCAGTGCACGGATTTTGTTGTGGAGTTGAATAAGCCGCAGGTGAGGGCATGCTGCACGTTTGTTGTTGGATCTGGCATGCAGAGCGGTTACGCTTATTGGCTTGGTCCAGAGGCTTGCAAAACAAGGCCTATGTGCTTCACAAGATTCTTTTTCAGGCTTAGATGAGAGAAAAGAGTCGTGTTCATCGCCTCTGCAGCTTCCGCACAGGCATGCAGACTGCATTCCAATAGCTATTCTCTAAAGCTCGCCGCCCACGCATTGTACAAGTCGACAGGAGAAAGGGCTGCTGCCCGCGCTAAGCTGGGCAAGTCCAGAATGTACTTCTCTGTCAATTACTAGCCCGCATTCCGATTCTACCATTGCAGATTCTGAGTATCCTAGTTCAGTACCATCTACGCAGGCGAAGCATCGTGGGTGCACAATGCAAGGCTTAAAGCAGGGTTGTTGGCAGGATGCCACGTGACACTCAACAAGGTTGTCCCCATCAAGGGACCCGGCACACGATAACCAGTTTACTGCTAGGCATTTCTCATGGTTTTCCACTCTTTCTATGTATGCTCCTTAGCTGTCAACGCTGCATGTTTAATGTGTATACGGTGTACCATTGCTGTTACTGTTGCAGGGGAAGACTTTGTTTCTCCATACCCCTATGGTGGCCGCAAAAAATGGGTATCCAATACACAGACCCCCATGTACAATAGACTGAAGTCCTTATTCGAGAGACCCACAAAAAAGGACCTTCATTTGTTTTGGAAAGCATAACATAGTCCCTCTAAACTATGTGCTACATACTCCCCGGTTTCGAGTTTGTCCATTTTTCCATCTGAGTCTCCAATATCATGTCTTAAATTCCTTATAACCCCATACATCCCCACACGGGGGAATATCGTAACCGCATTAAATTACCACCCACGAGCATGTTGCTATATGAGCCAAAATCCAAACTCCTAGTATCCCCCTTAATATCCCCTGTAGTAGTTCCTATAGAAAACCCTACACAGCCCCCCCTTTAAGGAGTTCAGATTGTGGTTCATATACTTATTGTGGTGGGTTTATAGTCCCCCTTAAGTAGATAGAAGATGGCTTTGGGCATATTATAATAAGATCCCCATGTACCCCATATTCTATCTAC